AAATTTTGATGATGAGGCCACCAAGGAGGCCCTGCACGTGCTCTCGGAGCTGTATGCGCCACCGCCCAGCACGTCCGTGCATGCGAAAGGCAAGAGCGTGGTTCGAGATGACAAGAGCGTGGATCAAGACGACCTGGATGAGACCGACACATCTCGAATATCAGGGAAGCTCGCTGCCAGCGGTGCGGTTCCTGCTCACGACATCTCTGGGGACATCGCTGCCCGCGCGCGGAGGAACCTCCGCCGGGACGTGGAGAGCAAGCTTGCTGAGTCCAGTCGTAAGTTCCTGCTGGCATTTGGAGAGGTTGACAAGGTGATTATCCGTTTCCGCTCTCTGGGCTAGGCCATGAGCCCGCGTGCACGTACTTCGCGTCACAGCTCCGAGCCCTTCTGTGTCAATTCGATATATTACCCGTCATGGGGACGTGCATGATATGTTGCCCTCCCTCTCTGCATGGCGTATCTGCCGAGTACTGTATATGGCCTCGTTGCCGGGCGGAGCCGTCTGCTAGGTTCGGCTTGGTTGATGGGGAAGCGTTCTCAGGCCGACTGCATTCTACGCAGTCTCTGGAATGTTCGTTGTCTGGTACGATAATAACGTGCATTCACCGGCCTTACATTCGCTGTTTCTGGGCACTCCCCCCCAATGAACATATGGCAGGCTTTTCCGCCGAATCCTGGCTTGTACGCTCATGCACTTTCACCCACCATGTAGCAACTCGATACCTTGCACGACCATCTTGCTGCCATGCGCATGAGGTGTGACGAGGAGCAGGTGCAGCTGGAAGAAACGAACGAAGCATGCAAGTCACTTTTAGATTGAGCAGGTAGTCTGCGAGATGAGAGGTGAGCGGCGCCCAATGTCAACGACGACAGCGAATTTATATACTTCAACCAGGCAAGTGATAACTACCCGGCAGTCCATAGTCTCCTTGTTTCTGGCGAAGTTCACCCTCAGCGAGGATGAAAAAGAAGCCATCACCTCACGGGATGTACCTGTCGATCAACGGTTTTTCGCTGCCATGGATAAGACGCAGAGGATCAGAGACGACTGTCGCGTCTTGATGACTGGCGAGGATGGCCCGACGAAAGCTGGGTAGGTATCTCTCACTACAGGCTTGCCTTCACACTTTGACCAACCTTCTGGACAATAAACTGGACATACTGTCTGCAACATCTGGATACCTGTGCTGCTTTGAGTTCCAGCAGATGGGTCGGGACGCCCAGCTGAAAGTCAGCCCTTCTATGGGCGAAGCCGTGCGGAGGCTACGACATCGCCCCGAGCTACTGACGTATGTGGCCTATTTAGTCGCCAAACCTTCCGAACGTGTATTCACTTCTCCGTGCCCAGCGAGGCGCTTACTTATCTGTTCCAAACACGTCAAGCGACGTTGCTGACTGCGTTCACTGACGCACTCACGCGCGGAGGTCCCGGCGGATTGCCTCGACCGATTGAGCTGCATGCGCACGACCCGCTGCGATATGTGGGAGATCTGCTCGCTTGGGTACATCAGGCGATTGCCGCGGAGCGAGAGTTCTTGGAGGGGCTTTTTGGTGTGAAAGGGGACGGCCGCATGGTCGGAAGCGTGCGGACGTTTTCCCAGAGCGAAGAAGAAGAATGGATGGCTGAGCTGATAAATGCGGCTGTGGCAAAACTGTGCACGCCTTTGAAGGTCTGTGCAGCTTTTCCGACAACGTAGGCTTCACGCGGGCTGATATGATGCTTCTAGAACAGGGTGCAGCAGACAGTGCGGTCACAGGAAAGCAGCATCACGTCATACAAGATCACGAATCTGCTGCAATTCTACACGATACACGTTGACGATGCAGCGCATGGTTGGCGGGGATGCAGTTCTTTCCAAGGCATTGAAGCAGTGCATGAATTGATGGGATTGCATAATGCGATATGTACTGATTCCGCAGTGACACAGGATGACGGACATGGCGTATCAGGTGTCCTTCGATTCTATCAACGCGCAAGGTCGTTCGCTGCTGCGCATACCGCCTGTATGTCACGCTCCTATTGATCGATTTCGCGAAGACCGCTAAGCAGAGAATTCTTAGGATCTCGATGACCGAAGCGTCTCCCCACCGCTTGTCATTCTTGACCACGCACAGGTGCTGCGTGAAGTCATGCTAGTATACGACTCGTCGCTGCTTGGTGACGAGACGGAGGAGCAATTGCACGCAGGCTTCCGCGACATCCTCGACAAGATGGTCGATCCGGCAATCGAGACTTGCCTCACCTCCGCCGAAAAGAAGCAGAAGCTTCATCCTGGATGGGACAAGACGGTGTTCGTCCTCATATCTGCAGAGCGTCATCGAGCCATTCGCATTCACATCCGAAAAGCAAGGTGTCATACAATGTTTGGTGGAAGCGAAAGTATTGCAACTGACGGAGGAACACGTGTGTAGTCTACTTGTGTCATGACACGTTTCCAACTAATGCTTTGTCAATACTAATAGTACAGGAATATTCTCCGGGACGCCGGGCTG